GCAGGAATGGCTTTCAAAAGACCAACATTTTAATCAACAAACTTTGTACACAAGAGGCTTCCCACTAAGGGAGTACATGTATTCCTGCTTTTACCACCAGCTTCTACCACCTGGGCTTTTAAGGCCCAGGATGGTCTCTCTTCTTCAAGCTTCCCTCAACAGGTATTTCCAGGGAGGGTGGCTTTCCAGAATCTGTCACAGGAGCAACATTCAACCCGGTCCCTGTTGCATGAACCGATGTTGAAAGCTGTGTGTCTCTTCCACTCCCCTCTCACATCCGCCTGGCTTTCCGTGGGCGGCAACCGTTGTGTGGAACCGGGGTGTTGTCGGTGATGGAGATGATCTCCAAACCTCCCATAGTCAAACCCTTGATGGCCGCCTGGAAGAACGAGACAGCGATGACACGCTGTTATCAACACACTGAACAGCAGAGAAGGGAAAAAGCTCAGAGAAAAATAGTTTGGTCCCCCATCTGAAAAACAACTTGTTCTAGTAGTTCTACTTTGTAGTTATCTTAAAAATCAGTAATTTGTATCAGAAAACGCAGTTTAAACCTATCTGCTCCAGTCCTTTCATCAGCGTTCCCATCAACTTTCCTACTTTAGTTGGAAGAAGTCCCAAATACAGCTTTTATTCTGCGTCCAAAGTGATATTACTTTAAAATTCTAATGATCCTAAATTTCATTACTAGGCACTTGAGTGATGAATTCTTTACATTGCCTTCAGAAAAACCAAGTTAATATGTATAGTCATGAGACCAGCCTGAATTTAAAACACCTGGATGAAGCCTGAAAAAGAAAAGTATGAAAAGAAACTCTGACACCTACTTTGCGTCCTGGTCCCAGTCCTTTCACCGTGACTCGTACGTGCAATACACCCTTCCCACGTGCTTTCTGTGAAAAGAACAACTGGTTAGTGTTCTCTTTGATATAACTGCTGCTGCTCTGGCTCCCCTGGAGTCTTTAGTTTTTCTTTTGACCCACTATCATAGTATTCTTCAAGTAAAAATAAAGAGTAGGTAGTAATGGATACAGAAGACAAATATGGGGATTGCACAAAGACACTAGGAGAGGAGGAGGAGGCCTGGATACAGCCATGGCAGTTTCAGGAGAACTTCTGTGCTAGGCTGTCAGCTCTGTACAGAGAAAAAGCTTTAAGATCAAACTATCTGTGACCTAAAGCCAGGGCAGAAAATGACATATCCATGGAAACGTGACTGAACTGGCAAAGAACAAGGACTAACTCAAAGCTGTTTTCCCTTCTCTAATGCAGCGACTTCTCTCCTGTGATCAGTGGGTTCCTTCTAGAGGGTAAATGAGAAATGCAGACAAGCTTTATATTTGCTGTGCAGGAGTCCACACCTTCAGTGCAAAAATTCTAGGGGCTTGCAAATTGAAAATGAAAAACACCTGCTGTAAAGCATAGCCATGCTGCCACCACGTGGATGGAGCTCCTCTGGGTCTCGTGCTTTCTGTGTTCCGGTGCAATTACTGTACTAACAACTTCAACAGTGACAGAATAAATCTGGCCAAGCGCAGCTATGCAGCTATTATGAGGCTCCGATGAGCACAGATTAATAGCAAAGATGTTCTTATATTCCTCTGAGTCAACCACAATAAGCTGTTGGCCAGCAGTGGCACCAAACACCTCTGACATGAAAGACTGGAGCAAGTTCCACCTAATTTAGGATGAGGATTTTCAGTTTAACCTTGCCTCATTCTGCTGTAATGAGGACCGTGACACAGCCAGCCTCATCTTCTCCTGCCACCTGGACACCCACATGGTTTTTTAGAAACAATTACAGTAAACTGTATGCAGCTGGAAACTACACGTGCAAGGACATCACCTTCTCTGACTGGAACTGCTGGCAGCAGCTCAGTTCTCCTGTGGCAGAGAGCAAATATAAAACATTCAGCCAGTAATTACAGCCGGTTCTCAATCCCCTATAGTGCAAAAATTGAACTGCTGCTGATTCAGGGGCTACATTTCCAAAATGGCTGAGACGTTCACTTATTAAAAAGGAGCTATGCAAACTGGAGCTGGAAAAGAATAGGATCCAAGTCACGTTTCCCAATCACAACCTGCACAGGTAAGTTCACCCTCTGGGCATTTCTAACTGCTGTTTCAAACACGCTTTGTCAGTGTGAAGATGCGCAGTGTGTCAGATGAACCTAGGGAAGCTGTCAACAAACAGCAATGTGCTGCTCAAGTGCGAAGGAGCAGAGCTCTGGACTGCTGCCTGTGAGCGAGGCAGGTACCCAGGCAGCGGGGGGAGGCAGTCAGTGCTCCCTGCTGGGAGGGTGAGAATCATCAGCACAGACTCACCACTGCTGCTGCCATGGCTGCGGTCTGTGCCGCGATGGCAGTTCCCTTCTTGGCATTCTGGAAGCCTTCGGTGCCACAGGATGTGTGGGCAAACGGCCTGTTGTCAAAGCTGACCACTTGGATGTGGGTGCTACAGAAAGAAAGGGGCAAAAGAAAGAAGCAAGCTAGAACAAAGCTTTATTCTCCAGTTTCTTCTCGCTCACCTTACTGGCACGGCTTGCCACAGGATTCCTGTCTCCCTTCTCCACACCACCCTAACTCAGCACTCCCTTTCAAGGTATCCCACTTAGATGAACGCGCTGCAGAGACCTCTCAGCAGTGACCTCCCAGTCACCCTAGAGAATCTGAGTGAGGTGGCAAAAGCTTTCTGGATAAGGTATGCTTTATCCAGGTACGCCTCAGATATCGCTTAGCCCTTTCAGGCCCACCCCTCACTGTGAGCAGTGAGAGGTGACTCTTCCCTTTATTAAAAAAATGCACAGAGCATTTCTAGAACTTGAAAGAGCTTTAAGAAACAGTAAAATATCACACGAGGGACCACCAATGAAACACAACCATCTCTCATGGAGAATATGACAATTTTTTCAGCAGCTCTACAGCAATAGCGCTAGAGGAGAGGGCTGGCAGTAACCTGACATTAAAGCCGTCAGCATCTAATTAGTCACATCAGAACGTAGTCAAAACATGTAAAAACAATCTTAGTGCTGTTAAAGACAGTATAAGGACAGTTACGCTTTCTGAACAGCACTGAGGTTTGAATTCAGTATTATTATCTTCCCAGTCATGAACACCTCTCCCCTGGCTTTTTTCCTTTGAGCCTTTTGATCAAAACGATGACTGGCCAAAGCCCGGGTATGTTATAAGCTTTTATTTTGCATGAGAGTAGGAATGGAGCAGCTCGTTTGCTTACTTGTTGTACGTAGCTTTGATATGAGCTATCGGGATCTCTTCATAGATCTTTCCGTCCCATCTCATGGAGTTCCTCTGCAGGATTAAAGGGCTGAGGAGCAAAATAAGAGTTATCAGGCACTCACTCTTTAAATTTTCCAAAGTTTTAGTTCATATTGGGAAAGAAAGAAGTTTCCAAAAGACACAAGCTGTGTTTGTGATTGAGTCAAGTCACTTCTTTTCCTTCCTCGGCTGAAAAACCACCGGAGGCGATAAAACCTCCCAGCAAGAGGCGAACGGCGGAGCCCTCCCGGCGCGGCCTGGCCGTCTCACCTCAGGTCGGTCGCGCTCTGGTTCTCCGCCTCCTTCGCGGCCGCCGCCTCCGCAAGGTCCTGCAGCCTCTGGGGGCCGGTGCGTAGGCCGCGACACAGGCTACGGCCCCCGCGGGGAAAAAAAAGGCCGGGGGCGGG